TTTCCTTTCTTTTTTGAGACAGGGTCTTGCTATGCAGCCCAGGCTGGCATTACCCTCACGGTGATCCTCCTGCCTTAGCCTCTTGAGGACTGGGATTCAGGTGTGTTCCCGCTTAATGAACATAATTTTAGTGTTAGGGCAACTGTATTTTGAAATTTGAAAATATATTCTCGAATTTGAATGTTCAGTGAAAGTTTCCCCTAGCAATGATGATGATGATGATGATTATTTCTTTTTGGTACTGGGGATCGAACTCAGGACCTTGCACTTGCCAGGCACCAGGTGCTTATGTCTCTGAGCTATCTCCCCGTCCCTGTCCCTTAGCAATTATGAATAAATGAAGGCTTAGTGCGTGAGGGAGGGAGTCATGCAATAGACAGGTGTTATAACAGGGAGTAATTTTGTTTTTGGTGATTACTTTGAGGGTGACAGGATCAGCTGGGCACGTGGTGCACACCTGTCATCCCAGGGCTCTTGGGAGACCGAGGCAGGAAGACTGCAATTCATGCCCTGCCTGGGCAGTTTAGGGACCTTAGGGAGACCATGTTCTGAAAAAAAAAAAGCGGTGGTGGTTGGGAGAGAGGCAGCTTACTGTGAAGGCCTCGGGTTCAATCCCCAATACAAAAAAGAAAAGAAAAAGTGGAAAAAAAAAATTGGACTTGGGTCCAAGCCCCACACCCCACGTCCGTACCTTACTCAGAATTCGGATGAGGTCCCCGCGCTGGAAGGACAGTTCGTCCGGCTGGTCGCCGTAGCAATCCCACAGGCCTTGGTAGTAACTGGCATAGTCCACTGATGAGAGAGAAGAGAAATCGAAGTTAAGAGGACCCCGTCTTTCCCAAAGAACCACATTTTGCTGTAGATGGAAACTGGGGGGTCAGATACGGCCCCTAGGAAGCCAGAGATTGGGGGGGTCCCCAAGAGACACGGCCGCTGGGCGGGAGCAAAGGACTATGGGAGAAGGAAATCATTAACTACCATTAAATATTTACAGATCACCCCTGGTAGGACGCTGTTCAACAATCTAGTAGTCTATTTATTTATTAATAAAAGAAAATCGGGCAGGTGATTTTTCAGTGGGCTTGTAAATAAGCTACACAAAGAGCCTTCCCGCCAGACCCCGCCAGGCAGCGTCTGCTCGGTCTTGCGGCTCTTTACCGTGCGCGGGGCGGGGGGCGCTGGCTGAGCCCCCCACTTCTGCCTGTTTACAATGTGCACTTCCGCTTGCATCTCGGCCTCCTCTGTAATCCGGGCTCATCCCACCCAGCTACCAAACGAGGACAGCGCCGAGGAATACGGAACCGCTCAGGCTGGGCTTTGAGCGGAGCCACGCGGGGGGCGCATCCATTACGGGCGGGCGAGTTCTGGGTGGGCTGGCGCGCCGCCAGCGTCTCTTGTCTGCTGAGATTTATCTGTGAGCCCCCGGGGGAGCAGAAAGTGAAGCGATCCGCATTAAAAATGAAAGCCGCAGAAGACGACAAACCAAGCTTTCGAAGCACTGGAGAGATTTACTAGCCTTCTCAGCAAGCCTGGATGGCAAAAGGACAGCCATCGATTCCTGACGGCGAGCAATCCGTATTGATCCCCACTACCCGGAAAGGTTAAGCACGAGTGTGCGAAGAGGGCTGGGACGTGGATGACGGGACAGCCGACATCCCCTGGACCACGCTATGCTGGGGTCCTCCGGGCGGACGCCCGGGGGCCGGGCTGGAGGCTCGAACCCTCCTCCCGGGGAGGCCGCACCGGGGGTCCTGGGTTGCAGTGGCATCTACGTGGTTTGGGGCACTGGGCTGTGCCAGTCCCCACCTTTCCTTTCTTTGCTTGGTCCCTCCAAGCATGGGCAGGTTTCTGAAGACAGAGCTGGGCCTGAGGAAAGCATGGGCCGGGAGGGCCTGGCTCTATGGCCTTGTTTTCCTCATAAATTGTTCCAAATTTATGAGCAACTCAAATCGTAAAGGTTCAGGGGAACAAATCCCTGTGCATCTCGGGAAAGAACTCTAGTAGGACTCTTAAATGCAAAAACAAAACAAGCCTGGTGTGGGGGTGCACTCCTGTCATCCCAGCCCTCGGGAGGCTGAGGCAGGAGGATCGCCTTGAGCTTGAGGCCGGTCTGGATTACACGGTGACACCATATTTTACCCCCTTCACCCCTCCTCCCACAAGAGCAGAAACAAATCAACCCAGGAGAGCCAGAACTACTGGGTTGAGAGGGCCTGGGAACAACACGTGGGCACAGTTGAGGAGGATGTTTTCCTTGAGCAGGAAATCGTATATGCAGCAGGCAGCACACAGAACAGCGGCAGGGGAAAGCAGCGCGTCACAGAGTTAAGAATATATTTGGAAGAAAAACATGTTGAGAGAAAATTGTTACTACTGCGAGGAAAAAGCATATATTTTGGGGGCTATCAGTGCATGAAAGAATGGGGAAATAGCAGTCCCTGAAAAGTGACGCTAGTTTTCTCAGGGGATATACTATACATCTCCCGTTGTAATGGAGTTGACAAATCGCTCGAGGATGTTTGACTAGATTTAGGAATGAGAAATAAGCCAACATCAATATTCTTTGTGGATTTATACACGGTAGAGAAAATCATTTTTATACTAGGTTTTTAGGGGCTGGGGAGATAGTTCAGCGGTCTAAGCGCCTGCCTGGCAAGCACAAGCACTCGGGTTCGATTCCCCAGAACCCTGGGTGCAATGTGCTGGCCACCGAAA